TGGGGATTACCTTCAACATCCATACCAGACCCTCCGATTGGGGGGTGGGGGAACCCCCACACTGTTTTCTGAATTCTGACAATTCTTTTGTTGGCATTCTGCTAACAGCAGATGAGTCATGGTTGTTAAGGACGTGTCGGCCGCCTGCTCCTTAACAACCATGATATTTACTGGTTGTTAAAGATGTCGGTGGCCGCCTGCTCCTTAAAGTGGAGCTCCACCCAAAAGGGGAAGTTCCGCTTTAAGCCTTTGTCCCCTGCTCCCCATTAAGGATTGGCACCTTTGGGGAGTGGGTACCCGAATTTGACAGGTACCCGCTCCCACTTCCGCTGCGATCGCCTAGGCGATCGGAAACGGAAGTTGTCCTCCCCCCTCCCTCCCCGTAGTCTTCTGGGACACGTGACCAGTCCCAGAAAAATACGAGGCCATTCACAATGAACAGCGCTTCTCGCACATGTGCAGTGGGCATCCGGCTGTGAAGCTGCAAGCTGTCACAGCCGGGTGCCCACACTGAAGATACCGGTGCCAGGGAGAGAAGATGGCTGTGAAACCAGCCATGGTGAGGACAGCGGTGGACCGAGGGACAGGTGAGTGGTTGTATTTTAAAAGTCAGCAGCTAGTTTTTGTAACTGCTGACTTTTTTTTTTTTTCAGGTGGAACTCTGTTTTAACATAGTATGGATTTGGGGGGAGACCACCACGTCATTTTTTAAAAAACATTTTGAAGTTGGGTTCCCCTCAAAATCCACACCATACCCGAAGATTCTTTTGTTTACATTCTGCTGACAACAAATGAGCCATGATATTAAGGACGCTGCAGTTGCCCGCTCCTTAACATCCATGATATTGAATGTTTTTTTAAGGACTCTGGCTACCATTGGCAATGAAATACCCCCAGGTTTCACTACTATAATACCGCATCACTCCATAAAATAGCTCATGCAGTATTTTAGTGAATTGCAAAAACATTTTTGAAAAACGCTAAGAGGTATTTTACCGCTGATCTCAAAGCAGTAGATACCTCTTTGTGAATCGAGCCCTAATGCTCCTTAACAGCTAAAATACTTGCATAGAAATAACAGTTCCAGGAGCATTTCCAGAATCTGAATCAGAATGTAGACAGGGCTCATTGTTTTATATTTCACTTTTTATTACAAAATTAGAAAATAATCTTAAATATGATGACAATAGAATAGAAGCACCCCAAAATTCAACACCTGTTCAAGCACCGTGAGCTGAGGTCAAATATGAAAACTTAAATAAAATAAAATAAAAAATAAGTTGCAGGATGGTAGGTGACATCTGATTGGTTGGAGTGGACTGACACACCCTCCTTTGCTCTCATTTTTTGTTGTTGGAAGTCATCCCTGATCATCCTCCGGGTCAGAGCAGTTTCTGCAGAACTCCTCTTGTGATCATGGGTCCTCGTATCCTACCTGGCAGGGCCACCCAACACTGGACAAAATATATAGTATGCATCAAACATCACAGGTCCAATTATATTGAACGATATCCAACCAAGGTGACCTTTCATGGTATGGTGTTGATGATCGAGCCAGGGGCGGACTGACAACTCATGGGGCCCCCGGGCAAAAGGGGATCATGGGGCCCCTGTGTCCTCGCCCACACTCAAACCACACCCAAAAAAAGCATATGAAAGGTACCAGGGGCATCTCATGGGGCTCCCTACTGACCCCAGGCCCGCGGGCAGTACCCAAGTTCCCAAATGATCAGTCCGCCCCTGGATGGGGTATCAGGCTTCACTTGGAATGGTTGGACACAACATAGGCAGCAGAACTACGGTTGGAACCAGATACTGGCAGACAGAATGTCTATGAATGGCTATGAGGGAAAGGCTCACCATGAATTGGCTACATCATTGCTAGTGGTAAAGCTCTCACACAGGTAGTCAAGCCTGAGTCCCCTGCTGATCCAAAGGGGCCCAGGCCTGGTATGGGGATACTGCCTGTATCCCCTCTTACAGCAGCTCTGATTCCATATAACCTTCAAGCTTGATCTATGCCCAGTATGAGTCCTACAGATCATGCTGTACATGAAATCTGCTAGATGCACATGAATATATCTAACAATGCCTGGTTGTGAGAGCCCTGTTACATACATAAAATGCATCATGTAATGTGAAACGCGCTGATGGCGGCCACAGCCACCTTCTCCTGTTCATGGCGGGCCTTCAGGTCTTCCAGAAGTTTGTTGTGTGGGAGGAGGGTATCATAACTCAATTCTCTTCTCACACCGCCATAAGATTGCTTCTCGCTGGATGCTTTGGGTGATTGGTGTGGCCGCGGAATTCTACTAGCGTATTCCAGGCTCTGGAAACAGACAATAATAAAGGGATTAAAGAACACCCAAGCAACATTCAGTTCTCTTATAGTCTTTTAAAAGTCATGACCGATGACTATTCTATGACTATTCTATTCTTGTCTATTCTTTTCTTTTCTATTCTGTTTTATTTTATTCTTTTATTTTCTATGCTATACCTTTATTTTCCATTCTATTCTATTCTATTATATTCTATTCTGCTTTAATCCATTACATTCTATTCTTTTCTGTTCTGTTTTATTCTAGAGTATTATTTTCTATTCTATTTCTTTAAAGTTTATTCTGTTCTATCCATTTATTTCCTATTCTATTCTAGAAGTCTATGTAGGAAACATCTTAACTAATTTGGATTCCTTACTGTATTTATTGCAATATATTTCCATTTTTAATTTGAATTCATGTTTGAAAATGTATGTATATATTGGAATTTGTTACTATTGTGATTCGGAAATTCATACACATCCAAGTCTCCAAATAACGAAAATTTCATCTGAAGTTTGATTTGTAACTAAACTAATTGCACATATCTAGCCCCATTGGCAGAAGGAATTTTCAGATTTCCAGAAGTTGGGCTTTAACACTTATCTTGGACTATTCCTTGTGTAGCCATTAATTTTATTCCTCTAGGCCTGGCTTAAATAATTCACCATTTTGTTCTGTGCAGTAAAGTGAATCCTTTCTTGTCCTATATAAGAATAAAATTAGGCTTACAGTGGCATCGCCTGCTTGTAGCACCTCGGCCATCATGATTTACTGATATATAGTTATAGATAGTCTGGCTGAAAAAAGACCAAAGTCCATCCAGTTCAACCCAAAAAAGTTATAATCCTACACCCACAATTGATCCAGAGGAAGGCAAAAACACCCAGCAAAGCACGATCCAATTTGCTCCTGCAGATGAAAAAATTCCTTCCTGATCCTCCGAGCAGCAATCGGATATTCCCTGGATCAACTTTACCTGTAAATGTTAGTATCCAGTTATATTCTGTGTATCTAGGAAAGAATCCAGGACTTTTTTAAAGCAATCCACTGAGCTGGCCAGAACCAACTCTTGAGGGAGTCTATTCCACATTTTCACAGCTGTGAAGAAACCTTTCTGTGTTTGGAGGTTAAATCTCTTTTCCTCCAGACGTAAAGAGTGCCCCCTTGTCTTCTGTGATGACCTCAGGGTAAATAACTCTACACCAAGTTCACTATATGAACCACTGATGTATTTATACATGGAGATCATATCCCCCCTTATGTATTATACATGGAGACCATATCCCCCTTATGTATTATACATGGAGATCATATCCCCCCTTATGTATTATACATGGAGATCATATCCCCCTTATGTATTATACATGGTGATCATATCCCCCCTTATGTATTATACATGGAGATCATATCCCCCTTATGTATTATACATGGTGATCATATCCCCCCTTATGTATTATACATGGAGATCATATCCCCCCCTTATGTATTATACATGGAGATCATATCCCCCCTTATGTATTATACATGGAGATCATATCCCCCCTTATGTATTATACATGGTGATCATATCCCCCCTTATGTATTATACATGGTGATCATATCCCCCCTTATGTATTATACATGGTGATCATATCCCCCCTTATGTATTATACATGGAGATCATATCCCCCTTTATGTATTATACATGGTGATCATATCCCCCCTTATGTATTATACATGGAGATCACATCCCCCTTATGTATTATACATGGTGATCATATCCCCCCTTATGTATTATACATGGTGATCATATCCCCCCTTATGTATTATACATGGAGATCACATCCCCCCTTAATCTCCTCTTCTCAAGAGAGAATAAATTCAGTTCCTCTAATCTTTCCTCATAGCTGATCTCCTCCATGCCTCTTATCAGTTTGGTTGCCCTTCTCTGTACTTTCTCCAGTTCCCCAATGTTCTTTTTGTGAATTGGTGCCCAAAACTGAACTGCATATTCCAGATGAGGTCTTACTAATGATTAGTACCGGGGGGAAATTATATCTCTCTCTGGGGTCTATACCTCTTTAATACAAGAGAGGATTTTGCTCGCCTTAGAAACCGCAGCTTGGCATTGCATGCCATTATTAAGCTTGTGATCTGCCAGAACCCCCAGATCCTTCTCCACCATTGATTCCCCCAGTTGTACCCCCCTAGTATGTATGATACATGCATATTCTTAGCCCCCAAGTGCAGAACCTTACATTTATCAACATTAAGCCTCATTTGCCACATAGTTGCCCAATTAAACAGAGCATTGAGGTCGGCTTGGAAATTGGAGACATCCTGTAAGGACGTTATTCCACTGCACAGCTTGGTGTCATCTGCAAAGACTGAAATGGGATTTATAATCCCAGATCCTATATCGTTTATAAATATATTAAAAAGTAAGGGTCCCAGCACTGAACCTTGGGGTACACCACTGACACCCCCAGACCATTCAGAGTATGAAACATTAACCACTACTCTCTGAATTTGGTCTTTTAGCCAGTTTTGTATCCATTTACATACAGATATTTCCAAGACTGTAGACTTTACCTTATACATTAGCCGTGTGTGGGGAACTGTGTCAAACGCTTTTGCAAAATCCAAGTATACCACATCCACCGCCACCCCTCTGTCCAAGTATACCACGTCCACCACCACCCCCTCTGTCCAAGTATACCACGTCCACCGCCACCCCCCTCTGTCCAAGTATACCATGTCCACCACCACCCCCTCTGTCCAAGTATACCACGTCCACCGCCACCCCTCTGTGTAAGTATGCCACGTCCACCGCCACCCCCTCTGTCCAAGTATGCCACGTCCACCGCCACCCCCTCTGCCCAAGTATGCCACGTCCACCGCCACCCCTCTGCCCAAGTATGCCACGTCCACCGCCACCCCTCTGTCCAAGTATGCCACGTCCACCGCCACCCCTCTGTCCAAGTATGCCACGTCCACCGCCACCCCTCTGTCCAAGTATGCCACGTCCACCGCCACCCCCTCTGTCCAAGTATGCCACGTCCACCGCCACCCCCTCTGTCCAAGTATGCCACGTCCACCGCCACCCCTCTGTCCAAGCATACCACGTCCACAGCCACCCCTCTGTCCAAGCATACCACGTCCACAGCCACCCCTCTGTCCAATTATACCACAGCCACCCCTCTGTCCAATTATACCACAGCCACCCCTCTGTCCAATTATACCACAGCCACCCCTCTGTCCAAGTATACCACATCCAAAGCCACCCCTCTGTCCAAGTATACCACGTCCACAGCCATCCCTATTTCCAAGTATACCACGTCCACCGCCACCCCTCTGTCCAAGGTTTTTCTCACCTCAGATTTGTTTGACAGATTTGTTTGACAACTTCTGTCTTTCATGAAGCTATACTGTCTGTTGCTTTAAAATATTTTTTTCCAGCAAGAACTCATCTATGTGGTCTTTTATTAAACTCTCCACTATCTTCCCAACTATAGAAGGTAAACTAATAGGTCTATAATTACTTGGTAAATATTTTGATCCCTTTTTAAATATTGGCACCACATTGGTCTTACGCCAATCCAGTGGTACTATGCCAGTCATTAAAGAGTCCCTAAAAATGAGAAACAATGGCTTTGAAATGACAGAGCTCAATTCTTTAAGGACCCGTGGGTGTATGCCATCCGGTCCAGGTGCTTTATTCACCTTTATTCTGTCTATTTCTGGATCATATAAGATGTGAGCCAATGTGGATCATCTGGGGCTATGTCAATACTATGCCCATTATGGACAAGAGCTCCTCCATGCTCCTGAAGAAGGTAATAAATAAGTTTGCCTTCTCTTTGTCCCCAGTCACCCACTCTGGATTATTTTGTAAAGGCCCTGTATGCTCAGTCCTGACCATTTTACTATTAATATATTTGAAGAATATTTTTGGGTTTGTCCTATCTTTTGCAATATGTCGTTCGATATGTATGTTTCATTTTTTTAAATAAAGAACAACCCTGGAGGGGCTTAAAGGTAACCATTCTTAACTGGGCTCTGAATATTAAAGTGTTACTAAACCCACAACAGTAACATCAGTCTGTATATGCAGTAAAGCTTGCTTGTTATACTCACTGTGGGACCTAAGGTGTTAATCCTCTGCATTGTGTAAAAATGCAGTTTGATCCTGTCTTCTCTGATCCTCCCCATCTTTCAGTGTCTCCCTCTTATCTCCTGTTGAGACATATCATGTGGAGACACTCTGCTCATGCTCAGCTTGGTGTGTATTGCTACAGAGGGTTCTTTTGTTCTTGGGAGAGTGCATGTGATCAGCACAGGGCCAATTGGCGCTGTCCAGACAGAGGTCAGGGGTTCTGCATCGTCCTAGAGCAAAATGAAAACTCCTCCTACAAGCTTTAACCAGTGCTCAGCTGAACACTGATAGAAGTCACAAGACTGCTCCAACTGCTGATGAGAAAAGGTATTTAACCATTTATATTTACTATAATAATTGCATTTCCATGTTTTGTGGGAGACCAGATATAGTGAATGCAGGGTACGGGGACACCAGATATAGTGAATGCAGGGTCTGGGGAGACCAGATATAGTGAATGCAGGGTCCGGGGAGACCAGATATAGTGAATGCAGGCTCCGGGGAGACCAGATATAGTGAATGCAGGGTCCGGGGAGAGCAAATATAGTGAATGCAGGGTTCTGGGAGACCAAATATAGTGAATGCAGGGTCCGGGGAGACCAGATATAATGAATGCAGGGTCCGGGGAGACCAGATATAGTGAATGCAGGGTCCGGGGAGACCAGATATAGTGAATGCAGGGCTCGGGGAGACCAGATATAGTGAATGCAGGGCTCGGGGAGACCAGATATAGTGAATGCAGGGTCCGGGGAGACCAGATATAATGAATGCAGGGTCTGGGGAGACCAGATATAGTGAATGCAGGGTCCGGGGAGACCAGATATAGTGAATGCAGGGTCCGGGGAGACCAGATATAGTGAATGCAGGGTAAATGCAGGGTTCTGGGAGACCAGATATAGTGAATGCAGGGTCCGGGGAGACCGGATATAGTGAATGCAGGGTCCGGGGAGACCGGATATAGTGAATGCAGGGTCCGGGGAGACCGGATATAGTGAATGCAGGGTCCTGGATTTAGTAACACTTTAAATAGTGCAGGTTTGCTTATGAAAGGTTTGTATTTGTACCCATATTTAGGGGTCATAAGTCAGCCTAGGTCTAAGAGTTTTACCCAACCCTTGAGTGCCTCATAGACTCAGATAACAATCCCCATAGTTAGTTTGAACGAAACAACTACAAGACTCCATTAGTTGATGTTGATCTACCAAAACGAAACATACCTGCCTATTATTAAGGTAGGTCTCAGTACGATCTCTATAAGTATGATGGCTTTTTGACTATAACATATAGCAAATACAAATAAACCTGCACCATGGCGTGTGCAAGAAGAAGAGACCATCATACTGTACAGACTCAACAAAATACAATTTTCTAGCAAAGAAGTATTCCCATCACCATATGCTGATAAATTGATAATTAAAGTGTGGAACCCTTGCTCCATTAGGACAGGATTGCTTTTAATTGTTTTTTTCGATTTGTCAGCATTACCCACCTGCCTCTCGCACACATTTTACTGTGGGCAGGCTGGGAGCTTGTACATGAATAATCTCATACAAGCAGTGTTGGATTCAGGGCGTGCATGTGCGCACACCCAGCCAACTGTGATTGGACACAGCGAGATTTGTCAACAGGTTTCAGCCAATGATTCATGGCTGAGACCTGCTTATCGGCTGTGTCTAATCACAGCCCAGAGCCCTATGTTGACAAACACACATGGCTCTGTACAGAGAGAGCAATCTGTTTTTTTTTCTTCTCCCAGCAAAGCAGGGAGAAGTTACATACAGATGTTTAATAAAAAGCACCATACATTGCACACATTAACATTTGTTAGGCACACACTTAACCCCTTGATTACGCCAAGATGTGAACCATTTCCCAACCAGTGTTATTAGTACAGTGACAGTGCTCAGTATTATCACTGATCACTGTACTAGTGTCACTGTTGATGTCAGTGTCACTTAGTCACTTAGTGTCCCTCTCAGCCAGCATCAGTTATTGTCAGATTGCCCTCCGCACTATCACAATCCCACTATAAGTTGCTGATCATCTGAAGTATAAAAATTAAATAAAAATGTCAGTATATATACACCATAGTTTTATAGACGCTATAACTTTCACAAAAAACAATCAATATACACTTATTGGGATTTTTTTTTTATACCAAAGACGTGTGGCTGAATATATTTTGTCCTAAATTTATGTAGAATTTAGATTTTTTTATTGAATATTTTTCATAGCAAAAAGTAAAAATAAATTTATTTTTAAAAGTTTCAATCTTTTTTCATTTATATAATGAATTTAAAAAAAAAAACAGTGGTGATCAAATACCACCATAAGCTCTATTTGTGTGAAAAAAAATTATATAAATTTCATTTGGGTACAGCGTACCACACAATTACCATTTAAAATAGCACAGTGCTAAATAGCAAAAAATGTCCTGGTCATGAAGGAGGTAAAACCTTTTAGAACACAAGTGGTCAATATACTGTATCGCTTTAGTGTACTATCCATATTAATGACAGTATTTATCTACATACATTTCTATGTTGCTAATATATGTCCTTTGCTTTTGGTTTAGTGCTTTTATCTTTGGGGCCCAGGTCACATCAGCCAGGGACTTTTGGTGAGTTCCATGTCTGGTTGGTTATACCATATTTATTTGGGGCTGGTGGTATGGGTTTTGGGATACTTTTAGTGTTTTTAATATGTGCCATGCCATGTGTTTTGTGGGGTGGCTGCTGTGCAATTATAGATATCTGATTTGAATGCAACAGATTTTGCTTTTCTATATACATGTTCTGTATGTATCAGTATTGGGTGGTGCAGATATTTCCTTGCTAGGGGTTTTGTTGAGTATATAGTAAAGAACAATGGCAGTGTACCATATCCTCGAACTGATATAAGGCGGCTATAGACAATGTGAATCTTGGGCGGCTCGGCAGGGACCGGCTGAGATTCGCACCATGTGTGGGCAGGCTGACTATAACCAAGTTAATCCATCAATCAAGTTGGGTACAACCAGCTTGCTCAATTTTACATGCAACTATTTGCTAGCGACTGTTATAGCCGCTAGCAATAATCATTGTCCTCTCCTGGCGGGGATGGTTCCCCCCACTGGGAGAACACAATGGCTCCCCAGGAGGGATTCCTCCATCAACACTGTCAGTATTGATGGGGGAATCAAGCGGATTTCTTTCCTGCAACCCATGGTCCGTCCATGGCCAGCCATACCCAGGACATTCAGTATAAAACCTTTGAGCAGAGTTCCCATTACCTTTTGCCTTGTTCCTTTGTTGTCATTCAGTACGATCGGCATTTCGCGGGCTTTCATTGGTTTATTCCTATTACGTTCTTGAATTACTTTGGCATACTCCTTCTGTTGCTTTAGCTGTTCTATCTGAAAAAAGTCATAATAAATATTCTTTATAGACAATAATTATGTAGAATTCTCAAACATTTCCCATTCAGGACCTGCCAGTAGATGGAAGCTTGATGGACCTGCAGTAGATCACATTCTTTTTGATGATGTGAGTGATGGTGTAACTGAGCCATTTGGATCAAGTCACTCTTTAAGTCCCATTCACATTTAAGTTTTCTGTTGCAGTGCCTTATCCCGTCCCACTCTCAAAAGAAAATCAGGTTGGGCCAAGCGCCGCAGGAAGCTTTGCATTTTCTGAAAGATTACAAGGCTTCCTCTGATTGGCTGGCTGAGGTGGAGATCATGACTTTTTCCAGTTACCTCTTCATCTCAGCCTCAGAGGAAGCCTTGCATTCAATGATATAAATACACAGCTTCCTGTGAGCAGCATTTCGCCTACTTGATTTTGTTCCAGCAGCAGACGGAAAGTCCTGATACCATTGATGGAACACAGTGCTGTATGTACACTCACTGGCCACTTTATTAGGTACACCTTGCTAGTACCGGGTTGGACCACCTTTTGCCTTCAGAACTGACTTAATTCTTTGTGGCGTAGATTCAACAAGGTGTTGGAAAACATTCCTCAGAGATTTTGGTCCATATTGACATGATAGTATCACACAGTTGCTGCAGATTTGTCAGCTGCACATCCATGATGTGAATCTCCTGTTCCACCACATCCCAAAGGTGCTCTATTGGATTGAGATCTGGTGATTGTAGAGGCCATTGGAGTACAATGAAGTCATTGTCATGTTCAAGAAACCAGTTTGAGATGATTTGAGCTTTGTGACATGGGGTTCAGTTCACTAATAGATAAATACCGCATGAATTTTTGAGTTAAAATAACAAATGCGGTATTTATTTAAAAAAGTAGTCAATTCACTAAAAATCATGCGTTATTTACCGAATGCGTTAAATACTTGTTTTGCAATATTTAGCACTTACATTTTGCATTATTTTTGGTGTTTTTTCAAATTTTTTTGCAGGATAACATTGCACCAGAATGCACACAGCAATATTGTGAAACTGAAAACATTGTAGTGTGCTTTCATTCACAAAATGATCTCCCTCTGATGAAATGTATTTATTTTCATTCCTGAGCTCGGAGGAGAACGTTTTTAATCTTGATACATTCTATACTTTTCACTTTTT